AAAAAGGGGAAATTTTGTGAAAAATGAAAAAAAATGGGAATTTTGGGTGAGAAATTGATGAATTGGTGAAAAATTGATAAAAAATCAAATTTTAGGGGAAAAATTGGGGAAAAGCAGAAAAATTTTGGGGAAAATGGGAGAAAAATGGGAAAATTGGGGGGAAAATGTAAAAATTTTGGGAAAAATGGAAAAAAAATTGGGAATTTTGGGTGAGAAATTGATGAAAAATTGGTGAAAAATCGATGAAAAATCGATAAAAAATCAAATTTTAGGAGAAAAATTGGGGAAATGCAGAAAAGTTTTGGGGGAAATGAGAGAAAAATGGGAAAATTGGAAAAAAAGGAAAAATTTTGGGAAAAAGTGGAAAAAAATTGGAATTTTGGGTGGAAAATTGATGAAAAATTGATAAAAAATGGAAATTTAGGGGAAAAATGGGGGAAATGCAGAAAAATCTTGGGAAAATGGGAGAAAAAGGGGAAAATTTGGGGAAAAAGGGAAAATTTTGGGAAAAAGTGGAAAAAAATTGGAATTTTGGGTGGAAAATTGATGAAAAATTGATAAAAAATGGAAATTTAGGGGAAAAATGGGGGAAATGCAGAAAAATCTTGGGAAAATGGGAGAAAAAGGGGAAAATTTGGGGAAAAAGGGAAAATTTTGGGAAAAAGTGGAAAAAAATTGGAATTTTGGGTGGAAAATTGATGAAAAATTGATAAAAAATGGAAATTTAGGGGAAAAATGGGGGAAATGCAGAAAAATCTTGGGAAAATGGGAGAAAAAGGGGAAAATTGGGGGGAAAAAATGTAAAAATTTTGGAAAAAAGTGGAAAAAAATGCAGAATTTTGGGTGGAAAATGGGGGGAAAGTTGATAAAAATTGATAAAAAAGGGAATTATAGGGGAAAAATTGGGGGAAATGCAGAAAAATTTTGGGGAAAATTAGGGGAAATTTGGGGAAAAAAAAGCAAAATTTTGGAAAAAAGTAGAAAAAATTTGGAATTTTGGGTGAAAAATTGGTAAAGAATTGATTAAAAAATGGAAATTTAGGGGAAAAATGGGGGAAATATGGAAAAATCTGGGGAAAAAGGGGAAAAAATGGAAAATTGGGGGAAAAAATGGAAAAATTCTGGAAAAAAGTGGAAAAAATTCAGAATTTTGGGTGAAAAATGGGGGGAAAGTTGACAAAAAATTGATTAAAAATGGAATTTTAGGGGAAAAAATGGGGGAAATTTGGGAAAAATTTTGGGGAAAATGGAAGAAAAAGGGGAAGATTAGGGGAAATTTGGGAAAAAAGGCAAAATTTTGGAAAAAAGTAGAAAAAATTTGGGATTTTGGGTGGAAAATTGATGAAAAATCGATTAAAAAATGGAATTTTAGGGGGAAAATTGGGGAAATGCAGAAAAATTTTGGGGAAAATGGAAGAAAAAGGGGAAGATTAGGGGAAATTTGGGAAAAAAGGCAAAATTTTGGAAAAAAGTAGAAAAAATTTGGGATTTTGGGTGGAAAATTGATGAAAAATCGATTAAAAAATGGAATTTTAGGGGGAAAATTGGGGAAATGCAGAAAAATTTTGGGGAAAATGGAAGAAAAAGGGGAAGATTAGGGGAAATTTGGGAAAAAAGGCAAAATTTTGGAAAAAAGTAGAAAAAATTTGGGATTTTGGGTGGAAAATTGATGAAAAATCGATTAAAAAATGGAATTTTAGGGGGAAAATTGGGGAAATGCAGAAAAATTTTGGGGAAAAAATGGAAAAATTGGGAATTTTGGATGAAAAATTGATGAAAAGTTGGTGAAAAATCGATAAAAAATCGATTAAAAAATGGAATTTTAGGAGAAAAATGGGGAAATACAGAAAATTCTGGGGAAAATGGGAGAAAAATGGGAAAATTGGGGGGAAAATGTAAAAATTTTGGGAAAAATGAAAAAAAAATTGGGAATTTTGGGTGAGAAATTGATGAAAAATTGGTGAAAAATTGATGAAAAATCGATTTAAAAATGGAATTTTAGGGGAAAAATTGGGGAAATGCAGAAAAATTTTGGGGAAAATGGGAGAAAAATGGGAAAATTGGGGGGAAAATGTAAAAATTTTGGGAAAAATGAAAAAAAAATTGGGAATTTTGGGTGAGAAATTGAAAAATTGGTGAAAAATCGATAAAAAATTTGATAAAATATCAAATTTTAGGGGAAAAATTGGGGAAATGCAGAAAAATTTTGGGGGAAATGAGAGAAAAATGGGAAAATTGGAAAAAAAGGAAAAACTTTGGGGAAAAAATGGAAAAAATTTGGAATTTTGGGTGAGAAATTGATGAAAAATTGATGAAAAATCGATAAAAAATCGATAAAAAATCGAATTTTCACGGGATTTTTTCGGGGGAAAAACCCCAAACCCCCCAAAAATGATGAGCCCAATGTCACGTGGGTGTGGGCGGGCCCTCATTAGCATGCATTTGCATATTTAGCTGCTGCAGAAGCAGGCGGAGCGGGCGGCGCGGGCGCGGGAGCGCGAGCGGCGCCGGAAGGAACAGGAAGAGGAGGAGCAACGGCAGCGCCAAGGGGGCGGGGCTTCCGCCGGAGGGGGCGGGGCTACCTCCGGAGGGGGCGGGGCTTCCGCCGGGTCAGGCCCCGCCCACTCGCGGTCGTCAGGAGGGGGCGGGGCCGGGCAGAGGGCGCCCCCTGGTGGGTCCAGGAAGAGGCGGAGCCGCAGCCGGAGCCCCCGGCGGCGCTGAGGACCCGAAATGGGCGGAAACGGCCCCAAAATCGGCCCCGAGGGGGCGGGAATAAAGAGGGGAGGAAACGGAGAAGGAGTGCTGGAGTTTGTGGGGGATGGGGGGGGATTTGG